CGGTGCCGGTGCCGGTGCCGGCGCTGGTGCTGGTGCTGCTGCTGCTGCTGCTGCTGGTGGTGCTGCTGCTGCTAATGGTGCTTGTGGTGCCGGCGGCGCTGGCGGTGCTGCTGCTCGTGATGGTGATGGTGATGGCGATGGTGCCGGTGGTGATGAGCCCGGCGATGCGGAAAGGCGATGCTGGATATCGGTGCAGTAATTTCGGGGAACCTCCACATACCCAACTCCGCAAAATCGATTTCATGCGTCTTGCTCAGGACAATCTGATTTTGAAGCTGCTACCTCGGAAGGTACCGGTAGTTGAGGCCAGGGCCGCGCAGAGGCTGGAACAGTCTCCAACATCCAGGGACACCGCGGGGCCCTGGGTGTTGAGCACCGGGGGTTCATGACAGGTTCTTGAAATATCCTGGTCCAGATCTCCAACTGTAACCGATGCTTCTCTGTTTATTCGGTCCGGCTGGACGTGCAGCCATCACTTTTGGTCCTTGGTCTCATAGCCGACATGACTCTAGAGCATAAAAGTGCACCGTTGCCGCGGCCATCACATGCCCTGGCGACTAATTACAAGGTTGGTGCGGGAAAGTCCCTCTGACATCAGTACAACTGGCGCAACCTTCGTAAATCCGAACACTGGCACGAGCGTGTACACGTGCCCCACGTCCCTCTGCAAAGGCTCGAGCCTTCAGGCCAAGAACGAAGGAAATCCGCCCTGCCAGGATCGAAGACGCCGCTCCCGTCGCCGTGAAGCCTTTCTTGGTTCCATGGCGGACGTGTTCGTCTCGAAACACACCATTTTTACTGGAAGCGCCCAACAGCACCGGCCTGTTGCCTTCGTCGAGGCGCCAGAGAGCTCGGGCCACCTGGGACTAACACCAGCCACGAAGAGAGTTCTTTGCAGGTCTCTGCTTCAGGACTCTACGTCGCATCGTCGTGTGTCAATGTGCGTCATTGCGTTGCCAAGCATAGAAGGCACACCGGGTTGCCCGACTCGCTTGAGTTCTCAGCGCCCACATAGACCTTTGGCGGGCAAACCGTCGTTGCCTCATAGTACTTGTAGCGTCTGCATTTCTGTTTGACTCTAGAAGGCTTTCGTGCTAGCATCGTGCTTCTCCTTCTAGACCCGTGCCACCGAATCAATTTACCCGCTGGACTTGGCCCGAAGACATACGACAAAACACATGCCGCACTCTTCATTCAGCCTGGGAACGGCTGCCGTGAGGCCTTGGAGTTGGACCCGCCTCCCATGCCAAATCAATCCAAATCTGCTCTGGTTCAAGCTTTGTTGTGGTTCCTCCGCGGCTAGTGTTTAGGTTTGTGGGCTTGTCTTCTTTAACTCTACTCTGTCGGTTGCACCCATGATCAAAACCTGCAGTGTTTGTGAGGTCATTCGGGGCCTCAGGCCACAGCCGTGAGTAAGTTGGTGCCGAGGCTGCGACGCAGAGATGCGAGAAACCCAACATTTCCGACATCCGCCATGCGTTGCATCGAACATTCGACACCACATGCCTGAAGCCGGCGTGGTAGATGGCTTCATAGCCAGTCTCCAAGGCCTCGTCTTCGTGAAACCAGTTCCGTGAAGATCCCTTTGGACCCAAATCGCATGGTAGACACATGAGCCCACTTTGCTATCTTTCATGACACCTGGGGGCTTCCCATCGGAACTTGAGGCCGGGACGTGGCGTTGACGGGGCTCCATGTGCTGCACCTGCATAGGGATATTGCATACGGCCGTGTCAGACTTGAATTGCACCATGGTTCCCTTTTGCAGCCACAATCTTCCCACAACGCGTGCCTCATTCCGCGACAGATGGAAGCGCTGGAAGTCGAACAGCTCGACCCCGTCAATGAAAGCTGCATGCCTCCGATGTGACGAGTTGGCTGTGCAGCAGTGTCTTTTGTCTGGGATGCCCATGCCATGCTAGCCCCTTCCTGGAAGAGGTAACTCATCATGTGTTTTTGGGAGTTTGGACCGCAGACGGACTTCACCTAGTCGGCACGGTCCTGCAAGACGTACGCCCGAAGCGCCAGCACCCCTCCGCGGAGTCATAACTCTCCGAATGATCCCAGCCTCATTTCACGAAGGAGCAGGTCACGGCGTTACGTCCAGGTTTGCTACGCAGAGCAATGAGCTCTGTGAATTGCACACGACGACCATTCTGCTCGGGGACCGGCGCTGCAGCGGAACCTCTGCCAAACACACCGATCAGGAAGAGGATAATGGAATAAACATGTTGCAACACGATGGTCCCTGTGGTGTCATGGGTAGCACATGCACCCCCTGTCTCAACATGCATCCCCCCAAACCGGTAAGGGTGTCGTTGGCTTGCAAGATGAAAGCAGGGAATGGATTCCAAGTTGGAGGTGCAGTAGCAGGTGCCATGCCTCGCACAGCGAGAAAAGGCACGCGTCCCCAACCCCAAACGAGCATTATCAGGGATTACTAAGCCCTAATAATAGAGCTTAGCTGGGCCTGTTAAACCCTTAGGGAAGCCTTATGAGTCTTTGCAAGACCTTCCCGGCCAAAGCATCATCCCCGGACCCCGAAGCCCGAAGCCGGAAGCCTCGGTAATGACGTCTGGGCCGCAAGACTGCGCAGATTGCCAGGCCTCTGCCTCCCGAAGGCAAGGCTGGGGAGGGAAGAGGAAGAAAGCTTCAACCCCCCCGCCCCCACCCCCGGCGACTCATGCACGGAGCTCTTTTCGGCTTCAGCTGGGCGGTGGATCTGGGCTCTTGCGATTTCCGGGAGTTACCGCTTGATCCGGTTGATCCGTACATAGCGATATGATGGAATTCAACCACTTCTCAGTGTCGCTACGGTATTGGTATGAGTTTGGACGTAGCCGGGTACCTCCAAGTACGGCGCTGTGAGACTGAGTTTGAGACTCTTCACTGACGGCCGTTGGCTAACGGAAAGCGAACAGGAGACTCCAAGGAATATCATAGAATCATGCAATAAAACAAACAGCACATAGCTGCCAAGCCGTGCAGGCATTTGCAAGTAGTTCCGTGGTAGCATATGACTTCACTGTTTGGGGATGGCGATTAGGACTCTGGTCCGTTCCACTGCAGTAAATCCAACTTATCATGCCCTGAAAGACATCCGATTACATGTTTTTCCGGACGGACTGTCTCTAAACCACTTCAGAAATCATCACGCTTTGAAGGCGCTGGAGCTACACACAATTCCGCATCAAAACCTGAGAACGGCATCCTGCTCTGGTGGCTAGGTGCTGCACCAAGTTAGCGGCTTCAACTGAGCAGTGAGCCTCTGGTCCTATGTCTACACCACTCCTTATTCAGACCCACTTCTCACGTGCAAACAACCCGTGGCATCTTCTCTGAGATTCCACAGCGGTTCATCTTCCGGTTTGCAACTACTGTCCCGCAAGCGTACAAAAACTCGGAGACTCTCTCACACTGACACAGACACAGAGAGACAGAGAGAGATAGACACACATGCACCTTCAAGGAAGGTGCAAGAATTAGGTGCAGCATGGGCATACTCGCTGACCGATTCCACCGGAGCCGCGAGCTTTCACAACGCTGCCCACGCCCTTACGCATGCAAGACGCGCCGAACGCTCAAGTTCGCTGCCGACATCTTGCACAATTCCAGGCGCTTAGGAACGCCAACTGTACGACGAAGGTTTCGTGCAGCAGGTCAGAGCTGAAGGGAGTATCTGGGCACCGCCTGGATGATAGGCCTCTACCAGCTCACACTGCAATGAGCTGCCGTCAGGGCTTCGGGAGGCTTCAGGCTACGGCGACTTTAGGGAGTGAAGTGGCCATCATACTTGCTTGTGAGGTGCTTCAAAGCCTTGTGGAGTTCAAGATGCTACGAAGACAAGAGCTAAGAGGCAAGACTTGAGAGGTGGGATAGCCATCTTCAGCCAAGTACAAAACCTCCACAAATCATCTGAGCATGGACCACACTGCTTGGACAGGCCACCGCAAGTTCTGATGGTCAATGGGAAAGAGAGGAGACTGATGATGCTACATTGGGTGCGCCCACTTCTCGCCCTCTGCATGAAAGACGACATGGCCACCCTCTTTGCCAGGCACGAACCGACAGTTCAACCCACATCGAAGCTATCAAACACAGAGTTGCGCTTCAAGTCCCGAAGCTGAACCCCGCCTGCTTTAAGATCAAGCAAGGAATTCTACACAAGAATCGCCACCCTGCAGCCCCAAATCCGGTAAATCTGACACGAGAAAGCGCCAGCATCCACCCTGAATTTCTCCAGCTACCGGCCTGGAAGGAGATGCATTGGGAAGAGGCTTTGACTTGCTGGAGAGCCTGCATGCGTGTCGTCATCTTCCACGGCTTTGGGTTTGCGATGTGTCGCATCTTGAGTTGGGTGTTCTATGCCGCTCTGCATTTCGAAAGCTTGGATTGGCTTCAATTTTTGCTAGAATCGGTGCTTGGCGTCACAAACCCTGGAAAGACTCTCGATTGCACTCTGCACGTCGGGGCTGACGATGTTGAATACTCCGGCTGTTTTTCGAACGAATGTGCGGCTGCACCGCAGGGCTGATCGACCGGATCCTTCGTAGAGGCCTTCAGATAGCAGGGTGATGGCGCTATGCGGCGTGGAGGTTCTCGATGGTTCGGGTACGGCGGAGCCGGGTTGGAGAGCGCAACATGAGGGTCGCAGGCAGTCACTTCTGCTGCTGAGAGCGCTGTGGACTTTCAGGCAAAAGTGCGATGCGGGTGGACGTAGTACGGAGCATGCAGCATGTGGAAACACGATTCGAATACCAAGTGCCTTGTCCGAAAGTCAATCTGCTTCAGCACGGGCACTATCTCAAACGCCCTGGCCTCAAGACAGAAGCGGCACAATTCCCTCACAAGCAGTTTGCAGTGCACATATCCATCAACCAACTGTCCTTCCTTCCCATGCCCTCCATTAAACGAAGTGAATCAGACAAGGTCTCTCTTCCGGAGTCCCCTTAGCGCACAAAAATCCAAGTCCGGGGCCGGCGTTCAGCATGTGGCTATACCAGAGTTATCTTCTGTGCTCTTAGCCCGACCGGAGCCTTGAAAACCTTCCTCGACGACTCCGAGGGTGGAGCACCTGTGAACCCTGACATCGTTGTATTAGACCTCTGCGCAGGCTGCAGAAACCCTATCACCCCGACTTGCCGAAAAGTCTCCTTCATTGCAAGGTCTCTCTCTCTGTGGCTTTCTTTCTTTCGCAGGGCTGTGGTGCGCACTTCTTCCCTCGGAACACCGGTGCAGAGCTCCCGCCTGGGGATTGGGCTTGTAGTTGCACATGGTCAGGGCCTGCACGACCCCGGTGACGTCATCCAGCACTCCCGCAACCTCGCTTGATGAAAAGTCTCTGGCGATGTGCTTGGCACTCAAGCGTTCCAGTCCACTGCTTGGCATCACATTCTTGCAATGATCCCCAGCTCGGGCGTGCTGCCACGCAACTTTCTCGATCGTGCGATATTTGATTGGCAGGCGCTCTCCCAGTAGGCAAAACAGCGCACAATCGCCTCCGATAGGTGCGGGCCAAACAGTCAAGGCAAATCAACGATCTGCAACGCAGAAGCCGACTTGTCAAGACCAGGGCTGTCGAATCAAACTCTCTGCAACCATTCAGAAAACCCTGTCAAAGAGTGATGACGTTGCAGGAGCAGAACCCGAGACGAACATAGCAATACTTCAATCAGGAATCCGTAGTTTCAGGAATCCAGTTGTAGCGAGTCTGCACGGGGTGTCGCTTCATCGTAGCAATGAAACCCGGGTGCTCTGCCACAGGCTTAGAGGAGGACTGCGATGTGCAGACGGAGGTCCATGGCCCAGACAGAAAAAATCGCGAAAACAGTCGCCACTCAATGTGCGAGTCAGGTAGCTGAACGTGTTGCAGTTTTTCTTCAGAACGTCGTAGGTCCCTTCCTTGAAAAAAGGCAACAAGATGCGAACCATTGTGGGTCCTGCCGTCAATCATCTGGTCTCCGACATAATTGACAAGCAACAGTGGTTGCATCATGAATGATTCATAGCTTGCTCTGTACCAGGCGTGTTGCCTGCGTTCCCTGACCGCTGCAGCACACGCACGGCTCAGTCAAACTTAGCCGGTTAGCCAGGACCCAGCTCAGACATGACCCGGACCCCAGGTCCTGATATCGTCGACACGCCCCGGAAGTACGAAACACCATCGTTGCCTGATCAGACTGCAACAGCATTGCAAGACTGACACAGCACGAATGGTGTCGGGACTTGGCCTGCGGGGTCGAGCTGTCCCTTCAGGACGTTCCTCATAATACCGCTTGGCGTAAACGTGTACCTGCAGCTTCAAGCAACCACCAAACTAACGCATCAACTCCGGCCAGGACACTCCGCATTATCCACCACGACGGCAGTGTGGTATGCATCCTCACGGTAGAAGATTCACGATGCTGAAAAGAGTCTGGGCTCCATCCCGCTACTGGGTCAGTTCATCCGCAACTGGTCCTTCATCCAACATCCATCAGGCGCTCCAAAGAACGAGGACACCTCGGGAGAGCAGTGCGCAACATCCCGGTCCTTGCAAGACATTTAACTCTGGAACTCATTCTGACCCTCCATGTCGCGTTCTTTAACCTCGGATTCGTCTCTTTCCTGTTGCATGCGCATAAGCTTGCCGGGCTTTGGGGATTTTGGAAGGCAGTTTGGCATCATTTCCTCGTGCCATGCTTGGTGAGAACTATGGCAGCAGGTTGGACTTGGTTGACCCCTTGCATTTTTCGGAATGGATTCCGGCTTTAAGCGTTCAGGGTCCAGTGTTGCAGCGTTATGGCCACGAAGAGTTCGCCAACATCCGCATGCCCAATCAGCGAAAGTCAACGCAGTAGTAGCAGGAAGGCTCATCAGTCTTACACCAACAAACAGGCACTGGCGTCGGGGCAATCGTGAAAACAATGGAACGGATCTGTAAATACATCCATAGTCTCCCATCCGAACCATCATCTCCCTTTCTTGTACCTATTCCCTGGAATCCTAAAAGCAGACGCCGTGGCACTGCCAAGACCACGCGATGGCCTTTGGCAGCGGCGCCAGGCTCCGACGCAGCAGCACCCATGGTGAGGATGAGGTTGATTCTGATAGTGGGACTAGGTGGTACCATTGCGGTTATGAGCCTAAGGCTTCTTAAAGGTGGTTAATAGACCGAGCAGCAGGCATCAGCAGACACAAGTTTGGTGTGCAGCTTTGGCCCAGGGACTAGGGTGAAGGAGACTGTCAGGTGCGCGCAGCTACAACTCATCGCTCGTGTCCGAGTGGCAAACAGCAGCGGATTTCAGTTTCTGGCTGCGGCTGAACATGGATGATCCCTCCGCACATGCATGCTCTTCTTTTTGAACATCCCACTTCTGCCGAAGTCTCCTTTCCCGAAGCCTCCCAGCTTGACGACAGCCGGGCAGCGAGGCTGGCGACGGCAATGCGAAGACCCTGAGGCGCTCCACGTTGTTGAGTGCTCTCAAGGCTCTCTGGCTCAGAGACAAAAAATGACACGTGCATCCCGTGGCACGACAGAAGGCAGACTCTGGCAACACTCAAAAATAAAGCTAGATCGCCAGCAGGATGTCAGGCAGAACGGGCGACGCCTTGTGGCAGTAGTGGTCCTGTCGTAGCAGATCTCCGCGTTTCACAAGCATGGCTCTCAGACTGATTCTGGAACTACGGGCGCTGCCGTTACTTCGACATGCTATGCGTTGTCTTTCCGTGGGGTTGCTCCTCAGCAGAAGCTGCGACCTTGCTCAACAAACAGAAAGCGCAGGATCTCATGAACGAGCCTGCAGCAGTTGGAAGGCTCCCTGCGCGAAGAGTGGAGGAACCGGAATCAACACTCAACCAGGTCTTACTAAGGTTGCAAAGAAAACAGAGACTGGCTGTCACCACCAAACAGCCTTGAGCATCCCGCCGAGTGGGCGCTGAGCATGATTGCTCGCGCGACTAGTTCTAGTCATATCTCTTCTAGCGGTCGAGCCTCCAACGACTCAATCCTTCACCACGCCAAATCCGCCCGTGCAACCCGACATCCAATGCAACACTACTGTAGAGCCAGACTCTTCGGCCGTATACTGGATGTATGCGCCACTGATGCAGTGTGCCCTTTCCGGGCTTGGAACAGCTTGCCTGAACATGCAACCTGAGCCACTCGACTCCGAAGCCCAAACACCCGTTAATGTGCAGCAAGCCACCAGCCCTTCGGTCACGATTTGTTTCTGGAAAGAGAGGAACTCGTGAGAGTCACATCAAACAACAGGACGCATTCAGAATCAACAATGGAAACCTGAATTCTTACATGCTGAAGCACCTAAAACCCTGAAACCCCTCTTCCCCCCTTTTTTTCTAAATCTCAAAAAAAAACGAAAATGCCGCAAACCCCAAAATGCTAAACAAGCAACGCTACAGAGCCCCGGCCTGGCAGCTGCCCGGCGCCGCCTGGCGCACGCGCCGGAGGGCCCAGTCGCGTAGAGCCTCTGCCGGCTCTTTGCTTTGCTTCGGGGCTTTGCGGCTTGAACTCGAAATGTGAAATTACTACACCCTGAAAGGCTTAGTAGGCCTAGGGTTTATGGGTTTAGGCAAGCCCAGGTTGCATCTGATAGAGCTTTTTAGGATGGGCGGGCTGCGAGCAATTTCAACAAACCTTTCCAGAGCCAACGCCTCTGAAAGACCCCAACCCCAGTCAAGGGGCAAGCCCGAGCATTGCCATTAGACTCAGAACCCTCCTAAGTAAGTACGATTGCTGAGCTTTCTTTGGGTCCACAGGTTTCCGGCAAAGATGCCGATAGATTCCACACTAACTACAGACCCGAAACGTCGAAGCCTGATTCCCTGCACAACTGGCCTCGGTAGCGGGGCAAGTCTTTGCCAGGCTGTCCTGCTTGGGCGGGGTGGCGGAGGCTTCTTGTACCAAAAAATGTCACCTTATGTCATGACCGGCGCGTTCATTTTCTGCACCAGTCATTTGAGTCAAGCTCTCGAGCCCTAAATCCTCAAATTGTTTGAGGATGTGTTGTTATCCTGTAAGGCTCTGTGCAGGCTCTGCAGCAGCTCCACTGCAGGTCACCGTGGCGCACTTCACTGGGCCTTCCGCTTTGGAGAAGTAGCTGCCTTCATGAAGCAAAGCTTTTGACGTCGGCGTGACACAGTTTCAGCAAGAAGCATGCACCTCTGTAATGATTTGAGTTGTTCTCCTAGGCCAGTATGCCCTCTATTTAGGACGTAGTCCATCTGCAGTTGATCCAGCTTGCGTGCAGTCATAGTCATGTGTTTTTACTGTTTCAGTCGTTGCGATGGCGGCGGGGATGGCCGTGGTAGGGCACTGGCAGTGGTAGTGGCACTAATGGCGGACATAGAAGCAGAAGAAAGAACACCAGCCGGAGCAGCAGCACCACCACTGTCGCCACCACCAGCACCACCACCGGCGGCAACTACAGCACCACCACCAGCACCACCGCCGCCGCCGCCGCCACCGCCACCACCACCTAAACCAAAACCACCACCACCACCACCACCACCACCACCACCATCTGACGCTTGAGGTCGTTAGATCATTTCTGTCTGTGATGATCACGGCCATCACCAGCAGTAGTAGTTGTCGTCGTCGTCGCAGCAGCAGCAGCAGCAGCAGCAGCAGCAGCAGAAGGAGCAGCAGTAGCAGCAGCAGCAGCAGCAGAAGCAGTGGCAGTGGCAGTGGCAGTAGCAGTAGCAGTAGTAGCAGTAGTAAAGTAGCAGCAGCAGCAGCAGCAGCAGCAGCAGGAGGAGGAGTAGGAGTAGGAGTAGGAGTAGGAGTAGTAGTAGTAGTAGTAGTAGTAGCAGTAGTAGTACTAGTAGTAAAAAAAGTACTAGCACTAGTACTAGTACTAGTACTAGTACTAGTACTA